GGGCGGACGGGGTCAGGGCGCCTTCCCTTCTGGGTCTATGCTGGGGCGGCCCTGACCCTCGCCTTAGGACAGCGCTGCCTGCGCCCCAGCAGCACGGGACTCCGCGGGTCCCCGACACCCACCGCGGTGCACGCTCTCAAGTGTGAACAGAACAGAGGGCCTGGAACGCAGCTTTGTTCAAGGAAACTCTGACTCTGCTCACTTTGAAGGGTGCGCGCGCGCTCTTTCTCTCCCCTGCCCTTCTGTTTGTTTTTCTTTCTGGGTCTCTTTATATAGCTCAGACTGCCTCAAACTCACAAGGATCCTCCTGCCTCAGCCTCCCGAATGGGAAGCCCTGATATTTTTGTACCAAGGCCAAGAGGGGGCCTAAGCGCACCGACACTCGGACCCCGACCCTGAATCATTCTGGGCCAGGGTCTGTGCGGGAGCGGGGATTCGACAGCCCCCGCCTGGGTCTCCGCCACGCTGGCCTGGAGACCGCCGGGGGGGTGGGGGTGGCCCTGGTCCCGGTGGAACGGCAGCCCCAACTCCGGCGGATGCTGCGTGGTTCCGCAGGGGTGACCCCAACAAGGCCCCGCTGCACCCTCACTGAGCTGCAGGCCCACAGCCCCCAGCGAGCCCATTGGTGGCTCGGGGCACTGAGGACAGCTCCGCGCCGCCCCCTGCTGGAAGCCGGCCACAAATACACGACCTGACCCCCGGGATGCGAATGGCACCCCCGTGCCCTCCGCACCTGGGCAGGGACTCGCCGTGTGGGTCCATCCCGCTGAAGATGAGGATGCAGGGCAGGCCCTCCAGCTCCAGGTACGTCTGCGGCCTCCACTCGGCGTCCTCGATCTTCTGCCACGTCTACAGACGAGAGAGACAGGCGGCCCGGAGTCTCGGCCCCCGGGGCTGGGATCACGCATGATGGCACCCCCGTGCCCTCCGCACCTGGGCAGGGACTCGCCGTGTGGGTCCATCCCGCTGAAGATGAGGATGCAGGGCAGGCCCTCCAGCTCCAGGTACGTCTGCGGCCTCCACTCGGCGTCCTCGATCTTCTGCCACGTCTACAGACGAGAGAGACAGGCGGCCCGGAGTCTCGGCCCCCGGGGCTGGGATCACGCATGACGCATGCG